CGGGACGCCAGGCAGACACTTACTGTCGACTCCTCGTGCTGGGCTTGTCTTTCGGGCTCTTTGTAGCCCAGGGGAGCATCAAAGTCCACCTGTGTTTCCAAGGTGAAAAGCAGAATTTTGAGACATGGTTATGCTTCATGCCCCTGCCTTTTCTTCACCCATCAGCCTCCGGGGACAGTCACACTGCAGTCCTCCTCTTCCGTTTTCCTCTCGGGACTTTGGGCACGCTTGGACATGGCTCAGTGTGTTTTTCAAGCCACCGGGTCTGGGACGCGAACTGTGGTCGGCCATGTGGAGTCCAGCGCCCTAGTCACCATGCCACTCGCTGCCCCACCCCTTTTGCTCCTGAGATAACTGCAGATTCACATGCAGTTCCCAGAAGTGATGGTGGATATCTTATACACTTGGTGGCAGCCTTTTATAAAACCATAACAGGAGAGGACTTCGGAAGTCTGTGGAGGGGCCAGCAGATGGCGTGGTGGTGAAGGTGCTGGACCCTCACATGGCCGAGCGTGGTCTGAGTCCCGGACCTGGCGGCTTGCCTTCTCGCTTTCCCTCTCTCTGGTCAAATTAAAATAGAATAATAATCGAGACCAGCAGATGGCATAATGATTATGTTGCTGGACTCCCACCTAGGCAACCGTGGTTTGAGTCCCAGACCTGGTGGCTTAAAACTCATGCCTGGCGCATGTGTGTGCATGCCCAAAATCCCAAGAGGAGAACGGAGAAGGGACTGCAGAGTGGCCAATCCCCGACGGGTGATTTCTCACTTTCTGTCTCTGTTTCTCCGGCTAGTGTACGTGCCCTATAGCAAAAATCTCTAAATAATAATAATAATAAAAAGAAGAAAACTAAATAATTCTCAGGGAAAAGAAAGTCTATAGAAAGGTGGAATTAAGGTAGCAGTTAGTGTAAGAGACCTTCAAAATCCATGCAGTTTTGTCGTAACACACACTTTCCATGAACTTTCTGAAGGTCCCCTTTACGGTACCATGGCCCAGGACACCAGAACCGGCACTGCTCTTACATTCGGTCCCCCTGGTTTGACACGTGCCCCGTTACGTCTGTGTGTTGAGTGGTACAGCGCCTTTTCACCAGAGGTCCCTGTACCGTGCCGGGACACCGAGCAGACCCTGGTGCAGTCCTTTCACAGCCAGGCCCAGCAGCCTCCCGGCCTCTCCGCCAGCTCTAAGCCCTGGTCACAGCTAACCCATCTGTTATTCCTATGGCTCTATCACTGTACGAATGCTGTATGAAATGGGACCAGCAGGGGGCGTGCTGGTTAAGGCGCTGGACGCTCCCACACGGCTGACCATGGTTTGAGTCCCAAACCTGGTGGCTTGCTTTCTCACTTTCTCTCTCTCTCTCTTGTCAAATTAAAATAAAAATTAAATAATTAAAAAAAAAAAGAATGCTACATGAAAGATGTAACCTCTCGGGACCGGCCTTTCCTGGCTACACCAGTGCTAGCAGTCCAGCCGGGATGTGCGCATGCAAGTTTGCTCCCGTCAGGAAGCTGAGGGGGCGTCCTTAGTCCCGGTGAATACTCGCTCCTCGGCAGGCGTGAGCCACACACTCTGCCACCCCCGCGGGCCGTAGGACGGACCAGAGTCAGAGGCCTCCAGTCAGGTCCGGCCAGCACCTTCCTCTCTACCCCGATAGTCCCCGAGGCTGTGAGACACGGTCCTGTTCGGAGCCATCTCCTCGCACCCGAGCTTGCCGGAAGCAGACAGAGCCACTCACGTTCATGTCACACTCGATGATGGACACGGCCTTGTCGGGCTTGGTCTCCATCACTCGCAGCTCGTAGATCTGTGGGGAGGACACAGCAGTCAGTGACGGGCTGGGGCCGCCCACAGGGCTGTCACTGTCCCTGTTACAATGCCCCCACACCCTTTGCATCCTATGAACACCTGCTCACACCATGACACCAGGACCCGTTCTCTGGCTGTGCCTTCACGCCCACTGTCCATTCCCCACACACAGTTCAAGTTAGACAAAGCAGTGACACATCCAACTGGAAAAGAGGGCCAGCAGGTGGCGTGGTGGTTAAAGGCACTGGCCACTCCCACATGGCCAACAGTGGTTCAAGTCCTGGACCTGGCAGCTTGCTTTCTCACTTTCCCTTTCTCTCTCTGTCTCTGTCTGGTCAAATGAAATACAAATAAGAACAACAAATGGACTTAAATAAAAACTCCTAACCTTTCTTTAACCTAGAAAGTTCAATTCTAGGAATTTAGGCTAAGTACCCAAGGAAGACATTCTAAGAATGCTCACTCCGACATTGTTAATCATTGTGTACAACCAAAATGCCTACCAAAAGACCAGCTATGAAGGACCTCTATCTGTTCATACGCAAATAAGTGAGTTGCACAATGGAATTCGACGCAGCCAACAGGAAAAGAACTGAAAAGCCAGTCACGCCGCTGGCATCCAGGTTGATCTCAGTTTGTGAAAGGAGACACAATGTGGGTCAGCCAGGTGGTGGTGTGGGTAAGGTGGCTGGTCCCCACATGTCTGTCTCCACGGTTTAAGCCCCAGATCCAGCGGCTTGAGAAACACGCCACGCATGTGTGCCCCACATCCCGAGTAGAAAATGGAGAAGGGACTGTGATGTGGCCATCCCCACCGCCCCGGGGGGGGGGGGGTTTCTCACTTTCTTGCTCTCTGGCAAATACATGTGCCCTACAGCAAAATTATTAAAAAAAAAAAAATCAAAAAACAAAAAACAAAACCCTAGAAAGTCCAGATGTATACAAACTGGAAATAGACCATTCTACCTTTTTCTGCATCTTTTCAGATTCTTTTGTTTTACCTGGAGTATCTTATGCTTTTAGAAATGATTGCTAATCTTGGGACCAGCAGTTGGCGTAATGGTTATGTCGTTGGACTCCCATGTAGTCGACTGCGGTTTGAGTCCCGGACCTAGTGGCTTAAACTCACACCGGGTGCATGTGTGTGCATGCCCAAGATCCCGAGAGGAGGATGGAGGAGAAGGAATTACAGCATGGCCATCCCCCTTAGGGGGCGATTTCTCGCTTCCTGTCTGTCTCTCTCTCTCTCGCTGGCGAGTGCATGCACCCTACGGCAAAAACCTTTCCAAAAAAAGGAAAAAAAAGAAAGAAAGGAACGATGGCCAGTCCAATCCTTTCCCTGCTTGGTAGGCACCACACTTCCCGTGTGATGGGATGACCGCGCGACTCCAAATTAACAGCAATTCCCACCTCGTGAGACGTGGCTGTCCCGCCGATCTCGCCTGCCCGGATTTGCACTGACCGTCTGACTTTCTCAGGGCCTCTGACATCTGTCTCCCTCCCACATGTCCCACCCCCTCGCAGATCTCTCTGTGCCTTTCGTCCGCTAACTTTTACAGCTGTTGTTGAATGGACTACTTCTCAGATCTTCCTGGTTAATTTCAGCCACGAAGGGTTTAGGAGTTCCGGTTCAACGGGGAAGTCTCTGATTCAGATCTCCCATAAAACTCTGACATGGCCATTGTTTCCCGCTCAGACATTCGTAAAAGTTTCCTGTAGCTCTTACAAGCCCAGTGAGGGCATTACTCATCTAGGGTTCCTCCTGTTTTCATTGGGTTTTGTCAGAAGGGTCTTGTGAAGTATCTGATTTTTCTGGGCACATTGCTGGACTCCCACATAGTTGACCACGGCTCGAATCCTGGACTGGCAGCTGAAAACTCACACTGGGTGAGGTACCAGCAGATGGTGTAATGGTTACATCACTGAACTCCCAAACAGTAGACTGCAGTTCAAGTCCTGGACCCAGTGGCTTAAAACTCACACTGGGTGCGTGTGCGTGCATGCCCAAGATCCCGAGAGGAGAATGGAGGAGAAGGGATTGTAGTGTGGCCATCCCCCCCGGGGGGTGATTTTTCCCCTTCTGTCTCTGTCTCTTTGGAGAGTGGAAGTGCCCTATACCAAAAAAAAAAAAAAACAACTCATGCTGGGTGCGTGTGCATGTGTGCCCAAAATCCTGAGCGGAGAATGGAGGAGAAGGGATTGTGATGTGGCCATACCCCATAGGGGATGATTTCTCACTTTCTTTCTCTCTGTTTCTGTCTCTCCAGCAAGCACATGCACCCTACAGCAAACATCGCTCTTAAAAATAAAAATAAAGTAAAAGTCCAAATTTGTCTTTCAATTCACGCAAAATATCAGTGACACTTTTTCCTTCCAACAATTTAAGAATTAAATTTAGGATTATTACCTTAACATTTAAGAATGGTTAACATTAGGAGCCAGTAGTTAGCATAATGGCTATGTCGCTGGACTCCCATGTGGTCGACCGTGGTTTGCATCCCGGACCCAGTGGCTTAGAACTCACGCCAGGCATGTGTGCGTGCGTGCCTAAGATCCCGAGAGGAGAATGGAGGAGAAGGGATTGCGGTGTGACCATCCCCCCTGGGGGGGTGATTTTTCGCTTTCTGTCTCTCTGTCTCTCTCTGTCTGGCGAGTGCACGCGCCCTATAGTGAAAACCTCTCAAAAAAAAAAAAAAAAGAATGGTTAACATGAAGACTGATTATAAATTAATTGTAAAAGTATAAAGTTTTAATTAAGGTAGGCAATACCTTAAATGTTTCCAACAGCTTAAGCCAACAAAAATATTTCCCAGTCCCCCCCACCCCAATTTGCTATATGGTGTGTGCTCACCACAGAGACAGAGAGCGAGAGAGAGAAGGGAGAAAGTGAGAAGGCAGCTTCTGGGGGTGCAATTCCTCTCACGTGGCAACTCCTCCTCCTCCACTCGCTCCTTGGGATTTGGGCACGTGTGCACATAATTGTTAAGCCACCAGACCCAGGACTCGAACTACAGTCAGCCATGTGAGATCCAGCTGCCTTAATCACTACCTCCTAGTGCACCCCCCTCCACCATCCCTGAGAGGATTTTGCTCTAGGGCACGTGCGTTTGCCAGAGACAGAAAGCAAGAAATCTCCCCCGGGGGGATGGCCACGCCACAATCCCTTCTCCATCACTCTCCTCTTGGGATCCTGGGCACGCATGCACACGCGCCCAGCGTTGAGTGTAAGCCACCAGGTCCGGGACTCAAACCGTGGTCGACTGCATGGGAATCCAGCGACCTAGCCATTACGCTAACTGCTGGTCCCACTATCACCTAGTTTTTAAGTATGTCTCAAAACTGAAAGCAGGATCAGACGCCTCAAACACACGGACCTGCCAGGAGAATGAGCCGGCCCTGCGTGTGACCGTGAGGGAGAAAGTGGACTCTAACTCTGTGCGGGGGACTGGCAGAACCACAGGCTCCCACGACACGGCTTCGAGGGCCCGGGAGTGTTGTGCGTCTCGAGGAAAGCTGAGCCACGCCAGGCTGGGTCACTCCCGAACACCAGAGGCCAACCTGGCAGTAGCTTCATGACCGTCAACTCTCCACTGTCAAACGGATAAGGGGCACCCACACCCCACACCCGCAGTGGGGCCACCTCACGGCAGGAGTGCTGACTACTCCATCCTCCCTCAGAGGTGCTTCTCCAGATAATGGGAGAATGGGCACCTCCTTGAATTTTTGTGGACACTCATGTTTTCACCCGACAGCTAAATTGTCTAGACCCAAGAAGTACGGGATAGGGGATGAACGTAAGCGGCATTCAGACCGGCGAAGGTCTGGGTCAGACCCAGGTCAGGGAGGGTCAAGCCCAGAGGAGCTGTTGAGAGAAAACCAAAGTTAAAGAGAAAGGGAAGAGGACAGAGGCTCCAGGGGAGAGGGGACCCCAGGAGGTACTGTCCCCCGGCAGTGCCAGCAGGAGAGGGTGTCTCAACGACAAACACCTGCTGGTTTGTTTGTGTCCCCACAGCAAAGACAGGGCTTAGCTCAGATTAAAGGTACAGTGAAGACCCGCTTAACAGTGGCAGACTCGGCAGTCTCGTCACCACGGAACAGAGATGTGACCGAACAAAGCAAGAACGTTAAGCATACTATAAATGCAATCGCTCCTCAAAACAGAGCTGCTGAAGAAATTATGGTTCTAAATATAAACCCCTCCTCCATTTTTTTTTAGTTTAGTTTTGTTTTTTTTTTAAACCATAAGGCATGTGTGCTCTCTGAAGAGAGGCGGAGAGAGGGAAAGTAAGAAATCATCCCCTAAGGGGGATGGCCATGCCGCAATCCCTTCTCCTCCCCTCTGCTCAGGATTTTGGGCACGCACGCACTCACACTCAGCCTGCCTCTCAGGCTGCTGGGTCCATGGCTCAAACTGTGATCAGCTATGTGGAAATTCAGTGCCTTAATCACCATGCACCTGCTGGTCCCAATCCCACAAAGATTTTTTTTTTTTTTTGGAGAGATTTTCACTGTAGGGCGCATGTGCTCGCCAGACAGACAGAGAGAGACATAGAGACAGAAAGCGAGAAATCATCCCCCAGGAGGGATGGCCACGCCGCAATCCCTTCTCCTCCATTCTCCTCTCGGGATCTTGGGCACGCACGCACACGCGCCCGGCGTGAGTTTTAAGCCACCAGGTCTGGGACACGAACCGTGGTCGACTACGTGGGAGTCCAGCGACATAGCCATTACGCCAACTGCTGGTTCCCAATCCCACAAAGATTTTAAAAGCAAACGGGGCCAGCAGGTTGCATGGTGGTTAAGGCACTGGATTCCCACTTGGTTGACCATGGTGAAAGTCCAGGACCTGGCAGCTTTAAAATCAAGCCAGGCATATATGCACACATGCCCCCAATGCCAGGAGAATGGAGAAGAGGGGAGTGCAGCATGGCATCCCTCCACAGAGGATGGGGGAGGTGGAGGGTGAATTCTCACTCTCCTCTCTCTCTCTAACTCTCTCTAGCAAGTGCATGTGCCCTATGGCAAAAATCGAAACAAAACAGCCAGTAATGCCAGTGGCACCCAGGCAAAACCTGCCTAGAAAGAAGCCCCACTCACATTCCGATACGAGATGGGACCCTGGCGGCGTGTGCTCAGGCGCGGCCTGCGCGGAGCCGGGCTCACCTTCTCGTTGTAGTTGATGGCGATCACATCCCCGGTGGTCAGACAGGCGAAGTTTCTCAAGGCGTTTTCCAACCTGCAGACACGGGCTGTCAAGGCAACATACACGGCATGGAAAGCTTCGGTCTGAAACCAGTGTCCCGTGAGGGGTTAGGAGATTAGACAGAGGTCTTGAGTCCCACGCTGGCACCAAAACATGCAGCTGGGAGGCGATGGACGTTCATCAGCTCCGAGACGGCACAGGCCCGTAACATTCAATAGCACGGGTGACTCTCACAAATGCTGTGCCGAGGGCGAGGACCAGCCCCAGAAGGGTACTAAGAGTCCCTCAGCACCCTGAGGAAGGCGGATCTATGATGACGAAGTAGCTGCGAGGTTGCTGGGGCCAGGGACTGGCTGGGGACTGGCAGGAGAGGAACCTTTTGGAAACATGGAAACATCCTGGTTCTGTGGGTGTGCACGTCCGTCAAACTGGTCACACCGTGTGTGCATTTCATTGATCATGAAGTATACCTTGGTAAAGTTGATTAAAAACCCATGGGAGGGTGGGGCCGGCAGGTGGTGTGGTGGTTAAGGCTGCTGGACTCCCACCTGGCCAACCACACTTTGAGTCCCGGATCCGGCAGCTTGCTTTCTCTCTCTCTCTCTTTCTCTGTCCCTCTCTGATCAAATTAAAATAAAATAAAATAAAATAAAATAAATGTTAAAATAAAAAATAATTGTTAAAAAAAAACAAACTCAAAAACCCTACGGGGGTACAGCAGGAGGTGTGGTGGTCGGGGGGCTGGACTCCCACATGGTTGACCACAATTTGGGTCCTAGACCTGGTAGCTTGAAACTCATGCCGTGCACACATGCATGTGTGCCCCAAATCCCGGGAGAATGGAGAAGGGACTATGGCGTGGCCATCCCCCGTGGGAGGGTGGTTTCTCACCTCCTCTCTCACTGTCTCTCTGGCAAGCACAGGTGCCCTATAGCAAAAACTTAACAGAAAAAAAAAAGAGAGAAAAAGAAAACGAGCCCAGCCCTATGGGAGCACACAATAAAGAAAAGATGAAATGAATTGTAAGTCCCTCAAAAGTGAAGATGCTTCCGGCTACACATTTGCTGTTTCTAGCTCTGGGCTGGTAAATTCAAAACCCTGTGGGAGGGTGGACCAGCGGGTGGTGTGGTGGTTAAGGACGCTGATTTAGGGGTATGTTCTAAAGCTAAAATTGTAATAATAATAAAAAAAAAACAGAACAAACCAACAGCAGCAAGTCCTATTTAAAACATGTGCATGCTTTTTATCACACGGTGCGTGCACTTGCTGGGAAGAGACAAAGGGAGGAGTGAGAAATCACCCCCCAGGAGGGATCATCATGCCACAATCGCTTCTCCTCCATTTTCCTCCTGGAATTTTAGGTACGTTTGCACACGTGCCTGGTGTTACTTTCAAGTCACCAGGTCCGGGACTTGAACTGCAGTCAGCCATGTGGGAATCCAGCATCTTAATTACTGCACTGCCTGTTGGCTCAGTTTAACAACAATGTTTAAGAGACTTTTGCTATAGGACGTGTGCACTCTCAGGAGAGACACAGAGAGACAGAGAGTGAGAAACCACCCCCTGGGGGGTGGCTGTACTGCAATACCTTCTCTCTCAGGATTGCAATACATTCTCAGGATCTGCAGCACAGGAGTGCACACTCACACACACACACACACTCTCTCCTGGCATGCATTTCATGCCACCAGGTCCAGGCTCAAACCACGATCGACTATGTGGGAGTCCAACAACGTAACTGCTATGCTATCTGCTGGTCTCAACAGCAATGTATTTTTAAAACCTGTGGAACCTGAACACCCAGATGAGCAAATGTCTATTTACATAGAATGTTTTAATTGCGTCATCGTCATCAGTTTATATATTATTCTGCATAAGATGATCAAGCAAAGTTTGCTCTTTTTGGTCAACCACCTTTCCAGAATGACAGCAGCCTGGAGACCATGGTGAGTCAGGGTGCCTCGGCCCCACACACGAAATGCCGCATGGCAGGGGTGCTCTTCCCTCCACTCTCTGAGGACCCTGCGAGGGAGTGCCCACCTCCCATGGAGCCGGCTCTGGCGTGGTGGCTGTGTACTCTGGCGCCTGTTCCCCGTCTTCTCGCTCTAGACTCTTCATCCTGACTGTCAGCAGGACCAAGGGACGTGGGGCTCCCTCAGGTGCTAACTGAGCTACGACAATCAGCCCCTGGAAGTGAGCCAATAGTAAGCCCGGAAAAAACCAGAAGGGCTACAGCCACAGGGCAGGCCCCACGCCTGGGCACTGCCAGCCGGACAAGGACCTCTGGGTCGCATGTTCCCACAGCTGTCCCTGCCTGGATGAGGACAGGAAACCTCCGCTACCAGCCACACTGTGGGTGAGTACCCAGGGTGCTCCCGCTGTCCAGGTCCAGGCTGGCAGGGGCTCAGTACGGCCGTTGAATCGGAACACGATTAGCGAGGATTCAATGCAGCCCACTGCAGCTGCTCCCGAGACGGGCCTGGAGACAGCGAGCAGGTGGGAGGGAGGCCGGACCCTGTCACCCCAGGCTCCCAACAGGCTGGGATTACAGGCAGGACGACAGCTCCTGGAGCACCAGGCTAGGCCTCCCACGCATCTCTGAGCCTCCTAAGTGGCGGTGCACTGCTGCGGCTGGCCCCAAAGATGCCATTTGAGCAAACACAGAGTGGTGTGGCCACGCTCTATACCCTGACCACAACGAACCAGCTCGGGGCTGGCAACTAGAGCCTGTGCTCACAACCGCTCAGCACACCGCTTACTGGCCACGCCGTCACGTGTTATAAACACGCACACCCAACTTCATTGGGAGGGCATTAAAAACCACCTGAACCTAGAACCTTTGCTTTGCACTGGCTGGGGGACAGAAAATGTGCTCAGTCAATGCTACCCACAGGCCTGGAGAGAGTGCACCCAAGCCTGGGCACACAAGGGTGACTGTCTACTTAGTGGCCAAGCAGGCGTGCCACGCACCCGGAGCCAGGCAAACGTGCTGGCTGGATGCCATTACTCTCACGTCACAACCTCCACGAGAAACAAGTACATCTGCCCACGCCGCGGCTGGGTGCCCTCCTCCGTCCAGGGGACCGACTCAGTTCCGAAGGATACACAGCCTTGGGGTTGGTGATGTCCAGGAAGTCGGGGCTCTGGGGCTGGAACTTGGAGTAGGTGGCCACCTGCAGGTTGACGCTCTCCACCTGAACCAGGCCCCCTTCCTCCAACAGCAGGTTCTGCATCATCTGGAAGGGAGGAGGAGGCGCCGTGAGACTCCTGGAAATGAGGCAGCCATTGCCGCCCTGCCCGTACCGGGACAGGCGGATGTCCTAACTGGGGCCTGGGAAGAGACGTGGTGGAAAGAGCTTGGGGACAAGTAGTTTAAGGTGGCATGCTGTCAAGGAGGAGGAAACGTCAAGTGAGAGAAGTCCGGGGAGGGAAGAGGCCTGCCAGTCCAGGGCTGCAGCCCCTCGGCAGCAGGGGGAGCATGTGTTCTCTGCTGGCCTCCCAGGTCAGCCGCCAGCCCCAGCCCTCCTGGGGCGGGAGTTCCCTGGGGTGCTTGCCCCACACTTCTAGGCTGTCCTACCATCAGCTCCTAAGGCCGGAGCACACAGGGCACCCCCGAGGAAGGACTCTGACAGCACAGGGAGACGCTGAGCTTGCACGAACCGGCGGCCACAGCTGGGGTCATGGGCTAGAGACAAGACCCCAGAGATGTCCGCCACGGGGACACAAACACCTGTGGAGGGCGCCCCCACATGCCTCTGGTAAGCCAGCAAGGCAGACAGCTGAGGAGTGAGACAGAGAGGCTGGGAGAGCCCGGGGCGCAGGGCTGGGATGCCGCAGCACTGCCAAGAATGGGGGTGGGGACGAGGACGCCTGGCCAGGGAGGAGAAGCCCAGTGTGTACTGGAGTGAGTTTTGGCTTTTCTTATATATATTTTAAAATAATGATCTGTTTAATTTATTGTTACTTTTAAAATTTGCTATAGGGCACATGTGCTCATCAGAGAGACAGAGAAGGAAAGTGAGAAAGCAAGCCACCGGTCTGGGATTCGAACCACAGCCAGCCATGAGGAAGTCTAGGCCTTAACCACACCACCTGCTGGCCTCATCATTTTAAATCCTCTTAAAGAGAATGTTAAACTTGGGACCAGCAGTTAGCGTAATGGCTATGTCGCTGGACTCCCACGTAGTTGACCGTGGTTTGTGTCCTGGGCCCGGTGGCTTAAACTCACACCAGGTGTGTGTTCGTGATGCCCAAGATCCCGAGAGGAGAATGAAGGAGAAGGGACTGCGGCGTGGCCATCCCCCCTGGGGGGTGATTTCTCGCTTTCTATCTCTCTGTCTTTCTGGTGAGCGCATGCGCCCTATAGCAAAAGCCTCTCCAAAAAAAAAGAGAATGTTAAACTCATACGAGAGCAGAGACAGCCATGTGAGGGGCCTCTGCACATAGCCTGCAGACTCAGGTCCATACTGCCAGCCCCGGAGTGAGTCCCAGGCAGCAGATCCCTGAAGAACGCTGCACCCAGGGGCAGGCAGGTGACACTGACAGCCTAAACAAGTGGGGCTCAGTGCAGGCCAGAGGAAGGGGGGCGCAGAGGCTCGTGGCTTTGCGTGTGGCCTGGCCTCAGGGCGGCCTGCAGAGTTGGCAGAAAAGGAGGGGTGGCCACTCTAGATGCCACGGGCAGGCACAGCAGGAGGGAGGGGCAGCTGGCTCGGGGAGCAGGGGTTCTGTGACCCTGGGGAGGGGCTCCAGAGCGGTCAGCCTGCTGCAGCCTGGGCACGCAGCCGGAGGCAGACCTCCCTGGGATGTCTGTCAGAGAGGGAACCAGGACGGGTCCCTCGTGGGAGGGCCTGTCGTGAGCACTGGGCTGTGGGAGGGCCCCTGAGGACAGGGGAGGCAGGAGGAGCTGAGACCTCCCTGGGCCTGGCCGGCCCCTGCAGCACTGCAGAGCACACACGGCACAGAGGGCACCGGCCAGCTCACCCAGGCCTGTGCGAGCGCCCATGTGGGGACCAAGGTCCAGGCCAGTGGACCAGGTCCCACCTGCTGGAGAGAAGGCCATGCTTGCTCCAGGATGGCTCGCCTCGAAGGATCTGGGGAGCTCCGAGCGGGACGGAGCCTACAGCCAGCTGAGGACGGCCTGGCTCGGAGACGCCAGGCAACTGCTTGCCAGCTAACTGCCCGCACAGTGGGAGCAAGGCCGGCCTGGCCAGAAATGAGCACAGCAGCCTCGGGCCCATGCTGGCTCCAGGTCACCCGGAGGCTTCCCAGAGGAGGATTCAGTTGGCTTCCCGCTCCGGGTGGTCTGAGCGTGGACAGTCTAGGGGCTGGAGGAGAGCCTCCGAGATACCGCGTTCCCAGCGTCACCGCTTCCTCTTCTACCGCTAAACTGCGCCCAGGGAGGCCTGCGTGGGGCCTGATGCTCCAGCCACCTGGAGCAGCTCCAGTGACCCAGTCTCCACTAGGTGAGGACGTGGTCTCGTGTCCCTGAAGGGACGCCTGCACACACACAGGACAGCTGGGTGCTGAGTGGCAAGTGCTGGGGTGGGGAAGTGAGGAGGGAGGCCAGTCTGGGCTTTCAAGGCTGACGGCGGCTGGGCAGGCCTGCTCAGCCCGGGTGAGGGGACGGCACAGGCAAGGCCAGGCAGCGGACGGGGGACGGGAGCGCGGGGCTCCTACAGGGAGCAGCTAGCTGGCCCAGCACTCGGGAAGGCCCTGGGGCCCAGGCTGGAGAGGATGACTGCCGCCCCCATGGTCACCTGCTGCAGGAGGGATGTCTTCAGAACGTCTGTTCATGTAACCTCAGAGGGTAAGGGTTAAGGTCACCCATCTGGCAAGTCTGGTGAGCACCATGACGGGAAACAGCGGGAGGGGCCACTGGGCTCAGAACACCTCCCAGGCCCCGGCCCGCGGGCTCTCGGCACCCCGACATGACAAAAGCAGAGGATATGTGGCTCCCTCTGCAGGCCTCCCAGACCACGCACGTGTGAGCTGGGGAGCTGGGGTGAGGGGAGCAGGAGGGGGAGGAGCAGGCCAAGGGGCCGCATGGCCGCATGTACGATCCTTGCCCTGTGGGGGCTCCCTGAGGCGCTCGGGCCCTAGGCAGGCTCTGGGGGCTCCCACGCCCTTGCCGCTTGCACCCAGGCCTGCAATGTCAGCTCAAGTCGACTTCACACAAATGAGGAAGCCTGTGTGTGAGCAGAACGGAGTCGCTCCTGAGGCAGCCGCGTGGACCGCCAGGAGTCCCAGGCCTGGAGTCCCAGGAACGGACACACGCGGTAACGGAAGCAACTCAAGGTGGGTGGGAGGAGTGGGGAGACAGAACCCTAAAACGTGGTACTCGCTAGACAAAAAGTATTCTAGTTCCATCTTTATAAAAAACTGCACCCAGAGATCTCGTATCACGGTAGGGCTATGGTCTCTGGGCAACCGGTAGAACAGCTGGCAAAGGAAAGGCTGCCCCGCGTGCGTGTCCACGGCCCGGCACGTTAAAGGCACAGCGTGCTGTCTTGGAACCGGGCCACCCTGCCCTGGGCAGGACTCCCGCGGGCACACAGCCAGCCAGGGACCCGGGCGGCCCCACTCACCCAGTGCGGGAGGTAGCAGATGCCCTCGTCGGCCACAAACTCCAGCACGCCACAGTGCGTCACGCGGTCCGAGTTCTTATTCGTCAGTTTGAACAGCATGGGGTAGGTGATATTGAGTCGGCCTACAGGGAGAGAGGGGCCACGAGCAGAGTCAGAGGGGCACGGGGCGCGGCTCCCACGGAGGGAAAGCCCCCCCCTGAAGGAGCCACCCTGCGGCCCACCGTGGCTACCCCACGGCAGGTGCCAAACTCAAGCGCCTGCCCCACCAGAGCCTGAGCTCAAGGCAGGGCGCCTCACCCCGAGAGCCCAGAGCATGGCCCTGGTGGAGCATGCACACGTCCGGAGACTTGGTAAGCCAGCACCGGCACAGACCTGGGATCCTCTAAAGCCATGACCTTACCAAATGCCACGTTCCTCCACCTACTCAGAAATAACCAAGTGCCCAGCACGTGCCAGACAAACCCGCCTTCCGAGGCTGTTAGAAAGGCAACGGAGACACAGGCAAGCACACCCAGGCGCTGCACGCGGGCAGGGAGGGCCTCGGGCAGAGACTCAGACTGTGCAGAGGCTTGTAGGAGGAGCACTGGGGGCCAGGGAACCTGGCCATCATGAGGCAGGCCCAGGGACACGTGTGGGGTGGACAGGAAGGGGGGGAGGCCAGGCTGGATACCACCCGGGGCAGACCGCAGTGTGGCCAGCGGGCAGCGTGGCTCTCTCATCAGGGTCCTGACGTGGGGTCTCGCTGCATTCTGGTGCTGCGTGAGGCGAGGGCTGTGTGGAGGCCAGCTGCAGGCTGGGCTGCTGACGGGTTGCTGGGCTGCTGACGGGAGAGGCAGGCACACACAGGAGGGGCTGGTGCTGAGAGGGGGAAGACCCAGGAGACCGGGGCCCGGGGTGGTGTGAGAAGGCACCGACAGTGCTGCCCAGAGCAGGCCCTGCTCCATCTTCCTGGAATAGTCAGGTGGGCACTGTCACTGTCCCCCTCTTACCTACTATGAGAAAACTAAGGCGTGCAGGTTAAACGACATGCCCAAGATCACGCAGCTCTAGGGTGGCAACGCCAGGGCGCACACCCAGGCAGCTGGCCTAAGCCTGGGGACTGAAGCAGAGGCAGACTCCGGTGGGCCAGCTGAGGCAGACATGCCAACAGACGTCCGCTCGGCAACAGCAGATAAGCAGACTCCCTGTGAGCCCTCCCTAAACATGCTAATAAAGTCAGGTAAGGTGCACAAGAGGCTACAGAGAAGGACCTCTGGAAGCAGGGCCTCACTTGCAGGGGGAAGGGAGCTCCCTCTTGTCGCCATAGTGACTCTGAGGCTGGCAGGACCAGGCCCAGGCCCATCACCCTTAGAGCACCTCCTAGCCATCGAGATGGGGTGACTCGATCAGGCTCTGTCCCAGGTCTGAAACTGGTGGTTAGAAGACGCCACCGTCCCTCAGGCCCAATTCCCAAACTGCGTTTTGTGAGTTAGAGACGGGCTGGAGCTCCGGAGCCCTCTGCAGCTCTCAACTCTTCCATCCAGAGCAGTGACTCTTTCATTACGAATTAGGACCTGTTGTAAGATTTCTAAGACAAAGGGTTTCTTGCAGGACCAGCAGAAATGGTGTAATGGTTATGTCGCTAGACTCCCACAGAGTTGACCTCGGTTTGAGTCCTGGACCTGCTGGCTTAAACTCACCCCGGGCGCATATGTGTACGTGCCCAAAATCCCGAGAGAATGGAGAAGGGATTACAGCATAGCCATCTGACCAGGGGTGACTTCTCACTTTCTGTCTCTCTCAAAAAGAAAACAAACCAACAGAAAGAACCAAAGAGGGTTCCCTCATCACTTCAAAGGTCTGGACGCACTGATACGTCTAAACCATGGTGACCCAGTCCCCAATCTCTTCTGGACGCCTGTGCCAAGGGTCACGGCTGGTGCTCAGCTCCTGGGCCAGCTTATCCTAAAGAGCATGACCCTGGGGGCCTGCTTCCTCTGGCGGGGTCTCTGTGAGGACCGTGAATGCCAAGGTACTGCCCACCTGCTGGCTGAGCTGAGGCCTCCGCCGGGAATAGCCACAGCTGGTCCTGGCTCAGTAGTGACCTCTGCATGGACGGCATCTCACGGGCTTGGGCCATTCGCATACGCACACACACACACACACACACACACCCCACACAGATAATGCACAACTGCTGTGGCTGTCCCCACTAAAGGAGGGGGGTGCTGAGGTGTGTAGACGCCGAGTCACTGGTCTGCAGTTAAGCCGGGCAGGTGCAAAGCCAAGGATGAACGACACCAGAGCGGGGACCTGCCTTCCATGACGCCCTGGTGGGCACCGGCTCCAAGCGCAGTCCTGCCCTGGGGCAGCCTCCACTCTCCTGCCTCATACAGGAATTCGCACCGGAAACACCCCAACGCCCCACCTCTCGCAAGGCAGGGACGGCGCCTGAGACCGGAGCTGTCCAGGGTTTTCCCCTCTAGGTGATGCGGGCCTGCGGTCTCCAGGCTGCTCTCGTGAGCTGAGCGGTCAGGACAGAGCAGAAGAGCACGGCTGTCCTTGCTCGCTCCTGGAGACCAGCAGCCACCAGCGAGGGGCAGCTCCGGGGCAGGAGACAGTCGCCGTTTCTGACACACTGAGGATGCGATGGCGCGGTGGACACGCTTTGAAAAACCACTGACCCCACAAAGACGTCCATGGAGTACGTCCACCAGACTTACGAGGGGGAAAGTAAACGAGGGCTCGAGCTCCGGAAAGGTATGTGGCGAGGAGCCGAGAAACCTGCCTCCCTACATCCGCCCGTGAACTGAGTGTGTCTTCTCAAAGGAGAAAATGAAGGAGCCCTGCCGATGGCAGCAGCTGCCCCTGCGCCGTGCCAAGCACTTGGTACTCACACCTTCGTTTCCTCCTGGTGGGACCCTGGGACAGGCTGGGGAGGAGGGAGAGAGGTGGCAGGAAAGGACAGGCGTGGACCTGACTCAGCGGGGCGGTGGTGAAGCTGGGCTATTGGTCCTGGCCCAGGCACTGGGCCGTCACTGCACCTGGCTCGCCGCCACGGCAGGCCTGACCTCCCGGCCCAGTGCACCTTCCGGGCTGATTCCCATGCAGACGCTGCCAGGGCACGCCTGGGCCTGGACGCCCCCGCGGCCCGTGCTAAGGCTGGTGCCCATACTTACATTGCCTAAGTCCTCAAGTAATACTTACTGAGTTGGTCGAGGGCTGAGGGCGGCATAATGACTGTGGAGAGAAGACGTAGGAAACATTTCAAAAACAAAAATAAAAAGGACAGACCAAAGGCAAGATGCAGTTTCTATTATAGCTAAAAACAAAATAAGAGTTTTGAACATTATGTTTGGGGTAACCAGAATTTCACGATGACTGTTCCATACAGAATCTTACTTGATGGGATTTATTTTGGGAGCTGCCTGGCAACCAGCCATAAACCTGATCATTATTAATACCTACCCCCACCACCTACCCCCGCTTAGCAAGTCTGGGATGGGGAACGTTTTCGCTGTGACACCAGCTTCCGGTCCCCACATGCGCAGTGAGGACTGCTGACGGCTACAAGCATGGCAGACTCAGGGCAGGAAAGGGTACTATTCAAAATAAAAACAAGCACATACTCTTCCCGCCTTTCTCCACATCTGACCTGTCATTAGGCCCTGCTAACATGGACACGGAGAAGCAGCGGTACTGCGTGGAGAAGCGGTTCTGGAAGACCCGGGGAATCGGGTGGTCGAACATGTTGAACGAGAACTGGAAGAAGGAAAGAGAAGCCAGAGTTAGGACAGATCAAAGGTCAAAGGTGTGTTTCTTTAAATCAAAAATTCAAACACATCAGGGTGGTTAACTCTGCTACACGTTATCGAAGAACATCGTAAACTGAAATCCCGATTACCCAGGAGTATTCTGACTTCCTGGGGAGCACACTGAACCTCAAGTCCTCTCTACACCCTTTCCCCAGGCTCATCCTTCAGATCTAGTCTCCGCTGTTTTTGTTAAGAGTGATCTTACTAAAATATTAGATCATTGGAAAAATCATGACTTTTTTTATTTTTTTTGAGAGATTTTTGCTATAGGGCACATGTGCTCACCAGAAAGAGAGACAGAGAGCGAGAAATCACCCCCCCAGGGGGGATGGCCACGCCACAATCTCTTCTCCTCCATTCTCCTCTTGGGACCTTGGGCCATTCATGCACACGCACCCGGCGTGAGTTTAAGCCACCGGGTCTGGGACTCAAATTACGGTCGATAACATGGGAGTCCAGCGACGTAGCCATTATGCTAAATGTTGGTCCCAAATCATGACATATCTTTGCATAGAAAAATAATTACGGCTTTTCCAACAACCGGATATAAACCTGGCCACACCAAGGCTGACTTTAACAAGCCAGACTTTGAAAGGCTGCTCTCTGTCCTTAGGGAGAGGCTGGCCTTCTCACACACCTCAGTGAACTGTTACTGAGTCCCCAAGTCTCCTAACACCGCCATGCTCCTGCCTGGGCTCCTTCCTGCACCTGGGACAATTTTTCCTATTATCATTCATTTAAGAGACATTTATTTATTTACTTATTCATTTTTATGATCAGCTTTCTTAACAAAATTACATTTACATGCATTCTTAAATTTTTTTTTTTTTGAGAGATTTTCACTGTAGGGCACGTGCGCTCGCCAGACAGACAGAGAGAGACATAGAGACAGAAAGCGAGAAATCACCCCCCAGGGGGGATGGTCACGCGGCAATCCCTTCTCCTCCATTCTCCTCTCGGGATCTTGGGCACGCATGCACATGCGCCCGGCGTGAGTTTTAAGCCACCAGGTCCGGGACACGAACCGCAGTCGACTACGTGGGAGTCTAGCAACATAGATAGCCATTATGCTAACTGCTGGTTCCCCATGCATTCTTAAATTTTTTGAGAGATTTTTGCTATAGGGTGTGTACACTCGCTAGAAAGGCAGGGAGAGGCAGAAAGTGAGAAATCACCCCCGGGGGGATGGCCACACCATAATCCCTTCTCCTCCATTCTCCTCTTGGGATCTTGGGCACGCATGCACACATGCCCAGCAGTCAGCTACATGGGAGTTCAGCGACACAGCCATTACGCTAACTGCTGGTCCCAAATTTTACACTACATTTTGATAGTCATGTTTGATTCCGTTCAAATGAAAAAATAGTCAAATCTGTGTGAGAGAAGAAGGAAATGACCTTTGAATACAATTGGCTAAATTCCTTCTAAGAGCGAAAAGTTAGGGGACCAGCAGATGGCATAGTGGTTACGTTGCTGGACTTCCACGTGGCTGATTGCAGTCCAAGTCTCAGACTGGAGGCTTGAAATTCACATGGGGCGCTTGTGTGTGTACGTGCCCAAAATCCCAAGAGGAGAAGAGATTTGTGGCATGGCCATCCCCCGGGAGTGCGGGTCTGTGTCTCTGCTTCGTTACAGGTCATCGCTGTTCAGCTCTGATTTGGCTGCTCCCTATGGCTACTGTCTGGTCAAAACCATGTCTTACACCATGAACGCGAACCAGACTGACGATCTCCAGACCGAGACCTCGACTCTGATCTTAGCTCCTCCCACCGTTCTTCCGGCTATGTCTGCTCTGGGAAGAACTGCCAGAAGACTGTCTTTGGGACCAGCAGTTAGCGTAATGGCTATGTCGCTGGACTCCCATGTAGTCGATGATGGTTCGAGTCCCAGACCTGGTGGCTTAAACTCATGCCGGGCGTGTGTGCGTGCATGCCCAAGATCCCGGGAGGAGAATGGAGGAGAAGGGACTGAGGCGTGGCCATCGCCCCTGGGGAGTGATTTCTAGCTTTCTGTCTCTGTCTCTCTCTGTCTTTCTGGTGAGCGCATGCGCCCTGTAGCGAAAACCTCTCCAAAAAACAAAAAGATGACGGAGCTGGGATTGACCTGTGCGGTCAGCCAGGTGGCATCCGGCTCCCTTGATCACGAGGTCACAGGCCCGGCCTGGGCAGCCTCTCTTTATGAGTGCCCGTTATGTGCCAGGTTGTGATCTGGTAGTTTTTTTAGCGAAACATCATCCCAGTGATATTTGTCACTAAAAAACAGATACCACCTGTGCCCTGGTAGGACTGATACTGAAGACGAGAGAGATAAACAAAAGAAAATGCACGCATGTCAGCCAGTTCTTTTTTTTTTTAATTGCCAGAGGGTGTGTGTACCTGCCTGTGTGAGAAAGAGAGAGGAGAGAGAGAGAGCACCTCCCCCATGAGGTGTGGGCACATTGTAATCCTTTGCCTTGCACCCCATCGGGATTTGGGACCCGGAGGCCTATGAAGCCGGGCGGTTCTTCGAGCCACCAGGGCGAGGATCCTCACTGCGGTTGATCATGTGGGCACTGGCTCCCTCTGTACAGACTAGGGGCAGTCCCGTCAGGCTGTCCTGATGACAAGCAGCAGAGGAAGGGGGCAGAGGTTCCCGGGAACGCTATCCTAAATAGGCCGTCAGGAGGCCCACCCTCGGCGGGCGGTGTGGCAGGGCTCCCCGGTGCTGGAAGCTGTCGGGGAATTACGTGGGAGACCACCTGTGCGTTTCGCTTTCTCTTACCAGATAAATACGCACATAAACTTTAGGTAGGTGGTCAGGGAGGGGCTCTGTGCAGAGACCTAAGCGCCACGAGACAAAGTCAGACAGAAAACAGGGAAAGACAATCTTAACAGGAGGAAGGGCGGCCCCAGCATGTGCACTGCTTCCAATGACCATCCTCGCGTTTCTCCGGGAAACCTCGCCTCATCTGCTAAGGGTCTGGATCGGCGGCCCTCTGGCGTGCTCTCACAACACACAGTAGGTACACAGGCTGTGCTAGGTACCGAGGTGCTTTCTCACATCAATAAGCAAAGCCAAAGGACGGTACCATTAGAGAGGCAAGACCCTGCTCTTAAATGGTGGACTACCATACGGCTTAGCAAACACGCTGGCTCTCAATTTAGGGGCTTCTCAAAAGTCTGGATCGGCGGCCCTCTGGCGTGCTCTCACAACACACAGTAGGTACACAGGCTGTGCTAGGTACCGAGGTGCTTTCTCACATCAATAAGCAAAGCCAAAGGACGGTACCATTAGAGAGGCAAGACCCTGCTCTTAAATGGTGGACTACCATACGGCTTAGCAAACACGCTGGCTCTCAATTTAGGGGCTTCTCAAAATAAAGCAACTACCGTGATGTTTTTTTTTTTTTGGAGAGATTTTCACTGTAGGGCGCGTGCGCTCGCCAGACAGACAGAGAGAGACATAGAGACAGAAAGCGAGAAATCACCCCCCAGGGGGGATGGTCACACCGCAATCCCTTCTCCTCCATTCTCCTCTTGGGATCTTGGGCATGCACACACACGCGCCTGGCGTGAGTTTTAAGCCACCGGGTCCGGGACACGAAGCTCGGTCGACTACGTGGGAGTCCAGCGACATAGCCATTACGCCAACTGCTGGTTCCCCCGTGATGTTTAAAAAGAGAACATAAGGGGCTGGCAGGGGGTGTGGTGGTTAAAGGCGCCGGACTCCCACATGGCTGACTGCGGTTTGGACCTGGTGGCTTGCTGTGTCACTTTCTCTCTCTCTCTGTCTCTCTCTCTGGTGAGGGCGTGTGCCCTACAGCAAATTAAAAAATAAAGAAAAATGATGACCAATAAAATGGAATAAATAATTCTTTTTATTGATTTTTATTTATTCTTGCAATACTGTATATATCCCAAAGAACTGACAGCAGGATCTCTCTTTTTTTTTTTTTTTGGAGAGGTTTTTGCTATAGGGCGCGTGCACTCGCCAGACAGACAGAGAGAGACAGAGAGACAGAAAGCAAGAAATCACCCCCCAGGGGGGATGGCCACGCCGCAATCCCTTCTCCTCCATTCTCCTCTCGGGATCTTGGGCACGCACGCACACGCGCCCGGCGTGAGTTTTAAGCCACTGGGTCTGGGACGCGAACCGCGGTCGACTACATGGGAGTCCAGTGACATAGCCATTACCCTAACTGCTGGTCCCAGAGCAGGATCTCAAAGAGATCTTTGTCCACTCATGTTCATGGCAGCACTATTCCCGACCGCCAGAAGGTGGAAGCAACCCAGAGTGCCTTAGTCCATTATTGTGTTAACAGAAATCCCTGAGCCTGGGCGATTTAGAAATAGGGGCTTACTAACTCACAAATCGGGCAGCTGGAAAGTCCAAAGGCATAAGCCTGGCATTAGGCCGGCTACAACACAGCCGACAGAGACAGAGAGGGTGGCAGGCTCTCGTACAGTAACCAGCCTTCCCAGGGGCGATCTCCTTTTCTTTTCTTTTTTGGAGAGGTTTTTGCTATAGGGCACGTGTGCTCGCCAGAAAGACAGAAGAGACAGAGAGACAGAAAGCGAGAAATCCCCCCCCAGGGGGGATGGCCACGCCGCAATCCCTTCTCCTCCATTCTCCTCTCGGGATCTTGGGCACGCACGCACACGGGCCTGGTGTGAGTTCAAGCCACCGGGTCCAGGACTCGAACCGCGGTGAACTACAGGGGAGTCCAGCGACGTAGCCTTTACGCCAACTGCTGGTCCCCAAACCCCTTTTCATGACAGCTAGAATTAACTGGATCCTGTGGGATGGTACTGCATGCGCCACAGTGGTGCTGCCATTATGCAATCACCAAGATTCAGTCACTGCCCAATAGGCTTCACTGCCCCCCCCCCAACACCCAATTCCCAAACGTGAAACTCTGCGGGACTAACCGTTATTCAGATTGTGTTTATCGACAGATAAGCAATTAAACAAGATATAGTTTATACATACACAGGAATATTACTCAGCCTTAAAAAGTTAAGAAATCCTAAGCCAGCCCTATAGCATAGTGGTAAGGCGGCCGAATCCCACATGGCTGACCATGTTTCGAGTCACGGGCGCGGTTGCTTGAAAAATATGCCAGGCATGTGTACACAAAACTCGCATGAAGTACGGGAAACTGGAACCAGCGGTTGGTGTAATGCTATGTTGCTGGACTCCCATGTAGTTGAACACGGTTCGAGTCCCGGACCCGGTGGCTTAAACTCACACTGGGCGCATGGGCGTGTGTGTGCCCAAGATCCCAAGAGAAGAATGGAGGAGAAAGGATTGCGGCGTGGCCATCCCCCCTTTGGGGTGATTTCTTGCTTTCTGTCTCTCTGTGTTTCTGGTGAGCGCATGTGCCCTATAGCAAAAAAAAAACTCTCCAAAAAAAGTACAGGAAACTTTGACAACTGCCTCCAATTCACTCACAATACTGACCTGCTCTACCTGACCGGGCTTATTTTCCTTCCATAACCTTGATGCCTAGCATGTATCAGTTCTTCGGTGTCTGTTAAGTGGACAAATTTGGGAACAGTAATACGACTGGACAGAGACATATTCAGAACAAATTCTAATACACATTAATATATACTCTTTGTTGGGACCAGCAGTTCACGTAATGGCTATGTCGCCGGACTCCCATGTAGCTGACCGCGATTCAAGTCCCGGATCCAGTGGCTTAAACTCATGCCGGGCGTGTGTGCGTGCGTGCCCAAGATCCCGAGAGGAGAATGGAGGAGAAGGGATTGTGGCATGGCCATTCCCCCTAGGGGGGTGATTTCTCGCTTTCTGTCTCTCTGTCTCTGGCTGTCTGTCTGGCGAGCGCATGTGCCCTATAGCAAAAAAACCTCTCCAAAACAAAAAAAATATATATATATATATACACACAAATATATATATATATATACACACATATATATATATATACACACACATATATATGTGTGTGTGTATATATATATATATACACTCTTTGTTTTTACTGAAATAAAAAGATGATACAGAGGTATGTACAGGTGCACCCCAAATCCTGGAAGGAGGAAGACATGTAGGAGAAGGGCTCGTGGCCACCCTCTAACGGGGAGTGCTTTCTATGCTCCCTCTCTTTCAAGTGCAAGTGTCCTCTGGCAATTACAATTAAAAAAAAAAAAGAGGAATGAAGTCCTGTTACCCGCTACGTGAATGGTCTTTGAGGACATGATGGTAAGTGAAATAAACCAGTCACAAAGCACTTCTACAGCAAGCCCCCACGTTTATGAGGTGTCTAAAGTAGTCAAGTTCAGAGACGAAAAGTGGAGTGACAGCTGCCAGAGGCTGTAGGCGGGAAAATGGAACATTATCACTTAAGGGGAATAGAGTATCACTTCTGCAAGATGAAAAAGTTCTAGGGCTCAGCAGGTGCCTTGATGGCTGTGTCGCTGGACTCCCATGTAGTTGACCGCGGTTCGTGTCCTGGACCTGGTGGCCTAAACTCACGCCGGGCACATGTGCCTGCGTGACCAAGATCCCGAGAGAATGGATGAGAAGGGATTGCGGCGTGATCATCCTCCCAGAGGGTGATTTCTTTTTTTCCCTCTGTTTTCTCCAAAAAAAAAAAAAAAAAAAAAAATTCTAGAGATCTGTTGTACAACAATAAGCATATACTTAACATTACTGAACTGTATACTTAAAAATGATTAAGATGATAAAATTTATGTTATACAGTGACTCGATTCCAACGTTAAGAGAAAGCCACTTACTGATAAAACATGAGCAATTCCAAAATTATCAAGCTCAACTAGTTAACCTTTTTTTCTTTTGGGCAGGGGGGGATGATTTTTGTTCTAGGGTCCATGCACTTGCCAGAGAGACAGAAAGTGAGAAGCCACACTCCAGGAGGATGGCCATGCCGTAATTCTCTTCCATTCTCCTCTTTGGATTCTGGGCACGCACGCGCACACACACGCCCAGCATGTTTCAAGCCAGGTCTGGGACTCGAACTGTGGTCAGCCATGTGGGAATCCCGTGCCTTAACCACTACACCACCTGCTGGCATCCCAGTTATCTTTTTTTGTTTGTTTTAAAGTATTATAGAACTCTTTATTTCTCTCTTAACTTGTCATTACTTTTCATATCTTGAAGCTCTGTTGGTGTGAGCTGTATATACATATATTTGTAATTTTTTAAATTTAATTTTATGATCATAACCTTCCAGTTATCTTTTTATGGTGCATGCTCTTGCATAATTTCATAGCACGGTTCTGCACTCCCAGTGTGTCCTCTCTTCTTTGAAGCAGAGCTCTACAAGTAAACATTGGCCAGAAGCAGGACACGTGACTATTTCCGGATGAAGGAAGTGAACAGTGTGCCCCCCTCCCCAGGCCCCTCTTCCTAAGTAACTTCTTTTCTAACCTGCAAGAGGGACCCTTGCACAAAGCATAGGACACTTGAATAACCTGCATCCAATCCACTCACAATCCTGACCCGCCCCTGACTGGTCTTATTTTCCTTCGTAACCTTGATGCCTAGCATGTATTGGCTCTTTAGTGTCTGTTAAATGGATAAACTCGGGAATAAAAATGTGATTTAATAGAGAAATACTCAGGGTAACATCAAATACACCAGTCTTATTTTTTTACTAAAAATAAACAGCAGTTAGCTAATGGCTATGTCGCTGGACTCCCACGTAGTCGACCGCGGTTCAAGTCTCGGACCTGGTGGCTTAAACTCACACCAGGCGCGTGTGCGTGCGTGCCCAAGATCCCGAGAGGAGAATGGAGGAGAAGGGATTGCGGCGTGGCCATCCCCCCTGGGGGGTGATTTCTCGCTTCCCGTGTCTCTCTCTCTCTGTCTGGTGAGTGCACACGCCCTAAGGCAAAAACCACTCAAAATAATAAACAAACAGGTGATAGAGGCAAGCGCCCTACAGAGGTAAATTGAAAGAGCTTAGCAGCCAGACCGGCTTGCAATCTCGACTCCACTGAGCCCTCCCGTAAACTCTCTCTGTAAACCTTAAGTTTTCTCGTGGTTAAAATCAAACTAATCATTGATCCTTGCCTCCAAGCGCACTGCAAGAATTCAAGGGGATAAGGTGCGATGGAGGGCTGAAGGCGTTAAAGGGAAACTAGGCAGCAAAAAAGGTCAGCGAATAAAAAGTTGTCGTTACTGAACACGGCACCGTTGTGAGATTCCACGGCAAGGACCAGAGGGTGCAGAGCCAGCGGAACCCGGGCAGGAGCTGGCCATCCCCGCCCACCGGGGTCCCCCCCTTCAGTTCTTGGGGAGCTCGGGATTCGGCTCTCCAGCCTTAACAGCCTTCCAATGAACTTTGCGGGTACAGAAACCTGTTGCGTATCTAGCTAGCGCTTATGGGCGGAGCAGAAGGTTCCCTTTAATCGTCAAGGAGCTCCGGGCTAGCTGGGAGGGAATGCGAAAAACGCTTCGGACGCGGGGCAGGCGAGCGGCCAGTTCGCGGCCAGGGCGCGGCTCGGGCCCCGAGCGCCCGGGCGGGCACACAGGCCGGGTTGAGGCCGGGGTGACTCGGCATCTCTGCCGCCATCCGTACCGCCCGGCCGAGCCCCGGT